TTAATGGTATGAAGTTTGAACTAAATTCCATTAAGTTTGATAGGTTGATGTGACCAAGTACTTGTCCATTGTACCGGTAAATAACAAATACATCTGCTAATATTCCAATATCGGCCGTATAAAGTTATGGGTTTTCAGCAGCCATATATATTAATATTTATATGTAATATTATGATGGAGTGAGTTGGTGAGTTTAGTTTTACGCTGCACTCAGCAATATGGCGGCGGTCTGTAAATAATCGAGTCTGGACCAGACAATCCAGTGATCAACAGCATGAGCATCGATCTGCGCAATTGGGAACCGATGACATGTGTCAACCAAGTCAGCGAAACTGACCACCCGATCCCGTTAGTCGCCTCTTACGACAAGCATAGTCGCCTTTTATGGCAAGCGCATGGGTTGCTGAAGACCTATTCTACCCCGGATCTTCACGGGTAATATTATGGTGGAAGATTTGCAGCCAGGCAGTTGTTGGTCGAATTGAACAAAATATGCAAAAAAGCACGACATATTCGAAAAGAATTGGCCAGCAATGTTCACTATAAAAGAACAGAAAACAAGACACTTATCATTTAAACCTATAGTCTGTTTGCAGTGAAAACGTACCGATGAATATCACTTTAAACAAAAAAGTAAATCAAATTAAGTGAAATTAAGATTGCGAATCCTCATAAGTTTACCTTGACAAATGAACGTTTAAATCTCATATTTGTATTCAACTTAGGGTAAAAGTTGTTTAACAAACGATCATAGATTCAAATCGCTATTATTGGTTTGTATTACAAGGGGGTAAGGGCAGTAGATGGAACAGTGAAACACATGCACGTGCGGTACGTGATGAGCGTTAACTTAGACCAACCCTACTTGTTCTCGGTGTTTCATTTAAAGTACATACCCCCTTGTAATACAAACCAATAATAGCGATTTGAAACTATGATAGTTTGTTAAACAAGTTGAATAAAATTCTGAGATTTAAATGTTCTACTGGCAAGGTAAAATTATGAGGATTGGCAATCTTAATTTAAACAGACTATAATACAGGCTACAGATGTGCAGAAGGTCTGGAACAACGCAATAGTCAGAATGTCTCTGTCAGAATGAGAATATATTTGTATTCTGAACTTGGTGATCTTACACAAATTGTGCGTGAGAACGCAGACTTGATTTTGGGTATTTAAAGGAACCGGACCTCTGATTTTCAGAATCGAAATCAAGCATTCTCTATTAATCTATGATATAGAATGGACCGCCTCCGTGGTGTAGTGGTTAGAGCGTCCGCCCGGAGAGCGGAAGGCCGCGGGTTCGATCCCCGACCGCGTCATACCAAAAGACGTTAAAATATGGTACTTGTTGGACCCTGCCTGGCGTTCGACATTAATGGGTACAACAAGGACTGGTCGGCTCGGAGTCAGTATAATGTGTCTGAGTGGGGTATTCATGCTTCACTGGTATCTCAGTGGGCTAGCACTATAAAACCAGCTTAAGTCTGGGCTAGTCCAAGCAGCCGCACATACAGATACACACGCATGCACGTCGTCATATGAGCGAAATATTCTCAAGCACGGCGTTAAACCCAATTTAACCTCACCTCACCTATGATGTAGAATGATGGCTTTAACTACACTAATTTCTTTCAGGGCACAGTAGAATGCGTCGAGGGCTGCAAAGGATTAATAGTTTATTAAAAGTGGATTCATTTGGACAGTGCATTAATCCGTGGGCTGGTACGCGATTTTTTGTGTGTGTTTATGTTATGGTTGCTCTTTGGGGATATCTTTGCGTTAGATACTTCATGAACGAACTCATAAAGAAACGTTTAGTCTGTCTATGGTTTAGCTGACTTATGCAGTCTGTTGTTGGGGATTTTTCCCGTTCAAGGCTGACAACAGAATGACCTGTCCGGAAGGTTTCAAAGAAATAGCGGGGCAGGAACCTAATCAGCCGTATTCGAGATGGTACATCTAAATGGGCTTGTGCTGTCAAGCAACCAGATTCAGTCCCGTCTCCTGAATGGTCACATGTTACTTTTCGTACAGTTGATAAAGTCCAGGTCAAATTCTCCACTGTATCATTAACGTCGATATTGATGACTATGATGGTAGTTCAATAACCATCTGTCAACAGATCTGTGATGAGATCCTCTAGAGCACTCTATTGTACTGATCTAGATGTTGACATCAGTGAAGTGTTAAAGAAGTCAAACGTGTCTTACATAAAACCCGCTGCTGTACATCTGACCCGAACAATTCCTACCAAATCTGCTCCCATTTGCTGGTCAGTTTTGCAAGACTGTAATGTCATTACCTTTCCTGAAATGTCCATTTCGGGTTTTTATTCCTCCATCCCTTATTCGTCTGGGTATGTCTCGGTTGCATATAATTTTCGGAGCTCTCATCACTTTATGCTTATTATGGAAATTACAAATATGAGGAGTACAGTATAAACACTCCGGCATGTCAGTACTGGTGAAAACACTGCGGCTTGAAGATGACAGGCCACAATTAGCAATAACAGATCGTGTTAATGACCCTATGACCGAATCGTCTCACAAACCGGGATGCGACAAGTTTCAATTGTTGGTTTTCTGAATTCAGTCATTTGTATAGTTCCCAATGGAACAAATCGTGCCTTCAAGCCTGATGTCCAACAGACAATACTGTCGTCTGCCTCATCCCTACTGGATACATGCAGTTGTAGCCATTTAAAGATTATCCTAAAGCTTCATCCTACTTATTGTTCTTACCTCTAAAATGGATAAATGATGCGGATACTCGTGAATTACCATTTGATATATTTCCTGGAAATTTCAGAAAATCAATCTGGCTTCAGTAAAAAACGATCTGTTACTGATCATGTTATTGCACTGAATTGAGTATATCATATGCTGGCCGAAACAGAACATTTTGCAAATGACTAGGGGTTGTGGATAATTTAGACAGCAGTTTTCACTCAGGAGAAGATTCTGATTGAAAAGTGCGCTAAAGCGCCATTTCCAGTGCCAAATTGGATACAAACAGTAAGAAGGTGCCTGTTCTGGATCTGCTTGCCTCACAATAGTGTTGTCTAAGATTATGTATTGGAGCGTTCAGTATTCCTCTGTGGAGGTTTTACAAATTCAATCGGGTGATCTCAGATGTGGAGTGTTAGGATGAGATATATGTTACAATCAAAGTTATTTGGGATAAAACACCCACGATATTATTGTTATAATGGTTGAGTGAACCGCCATCTGTATATGTCGACGTATTGGATCAATACAAAACATCTGAACCATCAGCTCACGTTAGAACCCGAGGACCTAATCCGCAGTTTACTGTGGTGAAGAGGATGTAGGTACCCAGTGTCAGGTCGTGTTCTATGTGGTGTCTTCATTCACAAACGAAACATTTCTATACGTTCAGCAGATTTTCAGTATTTTCTGCTGAACGTGGACAAACCACTGAAGCATTGTGTTGATTCATTTTTAGACTTGTGTCAGGGGTGTTTTAGTATTTCTGTCATTGCTTTATAATCAGTTTGGTCAGGTTCTTTCTCAGTAAGGCTGATACACTGACAAAGGCTGCATTAGATGTTCATTAGTCTGAGAAGGATGACACAATATCACCTTTTGCTGGGGACTTAGGAACCGTATTAAGTAAACAGAAGGCTAAAAGGAAAAATTGCAGCGTGGATGGACTTGATTATTTTAAGGATGACGTCTATCTGGCATCGAGCCTTTTATCAGTAAGTTACAAATATCTCGAAACTGTCGGAAATTGTGGTCTCGGTGCATATTAAACATTTTCGAAAAGACAGTTCTGCTAAGTGTAGTGAAATTGTTGGATCCTCATAGTCAACCACACATAATCATCAGAAACATTTCGTACATTTGAATATGAAATGTTTGAAGTACAGTAAAAAGACATAATTAAGAGCATTATGAAGTCATTGCTAGATCGTGCTGCTGAAAATTATTCTCTGCATCAAAATGTGTTGACTTACGTTACTGTCAGCATGCGCCCACTGGACATATAATTGTTTTTCAAATGGTACGTGCAGCCCAGTCTGCAATTCATTGTGCTGGATTGCGTCCCTTGGGGAACCATGTGTGAGTGAATGAGTTTAGTGTTACGCCGCACTCAGCAATAATCCAGCTATATGGCAGCGGTCTGTAAATAATCGAGTCTGGACCAGACAATCAAGTGATCAACAGCATGAACATCGATCTAAGCAATTGGGATACGTTGACATGTGTCAACCAAGTTAATGAGCATGACCAGCGATCCCGTTAGTCGCCTCTTACGACAAGCATGGGTTACTGAAGATCAATATTCTGACCCGGATCTTTACGGGTCGCGTCAGTCCATGACCCGCGCTGCTGGGATTCCTGCATTATGTCGTCTTTCCTCCCACGCAAACCGCCTGACGGTAATATTATTGTCATACTGTGTGTAATCAGTTCCATGCTTACCTGATATATAAAACCACCGCCTCCGTGGTGCAGTGGATAGAGCGTCCGCCCGCAGAGCGGAAGGTCGCGGGTTCGATCCCCGGCCGCGTCATACCAAAAGACGTTTAAATGTGGTACTTGTTGGTCCCTGCCTGGCGTTCGGCATTAATGGGTACAACAAGGACTGGTCGGCTCGGAATCAGTATAATGTGTCTGAGTGGGGTATTCATGCTTAACTGCGGCATGGTATCCCAGTGAGCCAGTATAATGTGTCTGAGTGGGGTATTCATGCTTCACTGCGGCATGGTATCCCAGTGAGCTAGCAGTATGAAACCAGCTTAAGTCTGGGCTAGTTCAAGCACCCACACATACACGCATGCACGTCGTCATATGAGCGAAATATCATACGACGTTTAATCCCATTCACCTCACCTAACCTGATATATAATCGTTATGATATACCACGTAGATGATGCTTTCTATCTATATAAGTGTATTGTACCACAATGGCACTGGTGGAGTAAAGGTCACTTTGAGAAAATCCAATGCATACAAAAACATAAACTATGGTGACAATTATTTCGTTTATTTAGTCATCTCGGCGGAACTATATGCATTGTGGAAATGCATACAAAATACAGTAATACAGTTTAAAAACGCTCATATTGTGGATTGTTGGCGGACGTTGAGACGTGAATAGACTTTTGAATTGAGCAGCGTCGTGTTGTACGTTCCCGTGGCTTTTGTGACAAATATGGTAGGGAAAGAGGATCCTGTTTACCTGTTGACGGAGCAAGTTTCATAAGTCATGACACGATGGAGTGGGACTATACATTAAATCTTAATAATTATTAATTATATTTGATATTTGCAAATACATTTCCCACAAAAATGTAACGACGACACATCATACTAGGCATTACTTTGCACATTTATGTGAACAAACAGCTATGGCGTTTTACGTGTTTACAGTCTGTGTGGATTACTAACATACTTACATTTTGTATTTGAGGCACTAAGGTGTTGTTTGTTGACCATCTGTTGCACTGGGTGTATCGGAGTGTGCTTTCGTTGGGATCCAAGGATCAGCTCCAGGCTGTCCTAGGCCTGATGGGTCACCAATTTGCCAAGTGTTAGGTTGGCTTCCTGGCGGATCTACCCAAGGGCTAGATGGATCTTGAAATTGACCTTGATTTGATGGGTCAACCACTTGCCACGTGTCAGGTTGGTTTTGTGGCGGATCTGCCCAAGGGTCAGATGTACCTTGCATTGATGGGTCTGCTACTTGCCACGTGTCAGGCTGGTTTTGTTGCGGATCTGCCCAAGGGTCAGATGTACCTTGCATTGATGGGTCTGCGACTTGCCACGTGTCAGGCGGAAACTGGTCACTGGTTGATGGTTTTGTTGATGGCTGTGGAGGCTGACCTTGGTCTGGGGTTTGACCAACTGTAGGCCGGGGATCAACATTATTTCCTTGTTGAGCCTGTTGTTCAGATGGGATTTGACGTTGATCTTGGCTATTCGTTTGTGCAGCAGATCCAGACGGGTTTGTTTGCTGAGAGGATTGCTTTTGTTCCGGGTTGTTCCCAGGGGCAACGGTTGGCTTGTCTGGTTCAGTGGTATGGCCGGTGTGTTGTTTGGTGTACCGAGTATGTTTTTTGTATGTAACAGAGTAGGTCTTTTCCTTCTGTGTCGTTAAGGTCTTTTTCGGTTTCGGCATATCTAGGGTGCCTACAGGACTCCGACCTAGGGTACCTTTAGGATTCATAGGCGGCCTCGGATATGGCAAAGAACCTTTAGGATTCAAGGGCTGCCTCGGCCGTTTAAAACTACCTTTAGGATTCAAGGGCTGCCTCGGCCGTTCAAAACTACCTTTAGGATTCAAGGGCTGCCTCGGCCGTTCAAAACTACCTTTAGGATTCAAGGGTTTTGCCTTCGAGCCAAAGTTCCCTTAGGCTGAGTCGGCGGAGCATGCCTACCGTGAGGTTTCAAGGGTCGACTGGGCAGAGCTGGAGTACCTGCAGGAATCGGGGGGTCAGTAGGCATAGGTCCTGATGGGGATTGTGGTTGTATCCGACCCTTCGGTCCCACAGGAAGAAAGGGTCCTCGCGGACTGAGTTGTGGTGGGTTGGGTCTTGAAGATGGCACATAACCTATTGGGCGCAGGGGTGGTGAACGTCTACGGCCTTCAGGAAAAGAACCCTTTGAGTAATAATGCTGCGGAGGTGAAGGAAGTGAAGGCTTCTTGAAGTGATAAGTATTTGGTGCGACGGTAGTCTCTGCGCGGGCCCATGGAAAGTTATACCCCTTTCCTCTGTGTGGACGTGCGCTGACAACTGCAACTGTTGTCAGCGCTGCCAGCAATATCAATCGAAAACCCATCAGTCCCATTCTCACAATCTGAAATTCGAAACGAAACATATTTACTGCTGTACGTAATGAGAAAATATAGAGCCTGATGGAATGGAGTTCCTCAATGACAACTATTCAGTATCTCTTCCTGTCTAAAATATTACTCTAACAAATACAAATCCCTTCTTTCAGAAATGTAATAAGTCTTTGAATGGAATTTAGAAGTGATACACATAAGGAAGAGAGTTTTTGTTATTAATGTCAAGTTCTCTATTATGAGGAACACGACGTTTCCGAGTACATCCTTACTCCTTCATCACCTGATGCAGGAATAAGGATATACTACCAAACGTTGTGTTCATCAGGTGATGAAGGAATAAGGATATACTACCAAACGTTGTGTTCATCAGGTGATGAAGGAGTAAGGATATACTACCAAACGCTGTGTTCATCACCTGATGAAGGAATAAGGATATACTACCAAACGTTGTGTTCATCACCTGATGAAGGAGTAAGGATATACTACCAAACGCTGTGTTCATCAGGTGATGAAGCAATAAGGATATACTACCAAACGTTGTGTTCATCACCTGATTAAGCAGTAAGGATATTATCAGAAACCCAAATCCCAGCTCTCATAATGTAGCAATAATTCTTAAGACATTCAGGGAGGGAATTTATTACATGCAGAAAAGTATAATTTCATTCTCAAAACCTCAAAGGTTTATTACATGCAGAAAAGTATAATCTCATTCTCAAAACCTCAAAGGTTTTGCTTAAACCGTTGCAAATTCAGAAAGAACTGTTGTATATATCAACTTTCCAACTTTTGGAAGTTCAGGAAAAAATGAATTAACTTTAGTTAATAGCCAATGTTATCTGAAGTTTACGCTTTCTTTATGCATATAAATCAACGTTTGCGCCCATATTGGCTAATCAATACAAGGGAACATGGAACATAAGCTTCAGGAACATCATTGATGTGGCATTCTTCAGTATTCTTTGATAATCACCTCAAAGTTTCCTTCAGCGGAATTATCCTCCTACACTGATATTAAAGCTTAAGTTCCAAGCACTTGTTGTATTTCATGTTGAGATACATGAGATTCAGCACTAAAGTACTGTCGGAAATAGAAAATAACTGTAATTTCTCATTTATCTCTACAATTTATGTAGTTGATATGTGCAAGTGTGAAATATCTGTGAAACTAAGTTCGGCCTAACTACAAGTCTCAGTGGCAGGGACATAAGAAAAGTAGAAAAGGGACTTAACTGAGGAGAGATTAGTGCAGAAATGAGCAATGCGGGTTTTCTCTAAGTCCAAAGCGATTTACATGGAACACACTATGGCTTTATGCAAATTAGTGTGCGACGATATTGTATTACAAAGGACACTTTTTAAATGCCCAATTTGAAATTAGACGTAGCTTCATTATAAACGATAGCTGGCGTGAAAAATAATAACTTTCATGCTGAAACTATTAAGGATGTAGCTACCATGGAGTCTCACTGTCGCTATAAAAAGAAACAGATAGAAGGGTTTGTCTCAAAAGCAAAACCTGGACGGGTGTCGCAGACGATCGTTGGGGTCGGGCTTGGGGATAGAGATATCAGCAAAGATAAGATAATCCTTTAGGGCAATTATACTGGGGAAGTACAAGGCATGTCATAACAATTTACAAATAATATCCAGTCCTGTCGATCTTCGCGATCGGTTTGTCATGCCACCTAATACATTCAATACGATGCGTTTCTATGGTTATCAGGTATCATACTCTTTTACGTATCTCAACATAAACTTCATGAAAGAAAGACACGTATGATGTTAATCAATAGATGAGGCATAGTCAACACACATGAAAAAGCACAAAATATCTTTGAGATGACCCCTTGTGCCTGTAGGCAGCACGTGCATTTCATGCCAGGCGAGTCGACGGTCCGTCGTCATACCTGGCTGAGGGAGCTAATTGCCATCTATAGTCTGATCTATAGTTTTCAGCAACTATTCGTATTTTTCCTAAGTTTTGCCCAATTTTACGAGTAAACGTGCTTTTCTGGATATTCTATTACGCATCCCACTGAATGCCAAGTTAGGCCGAAGTGGGTTATTTCGACATATGCTATTTGCAGTTGTGTAAATTTTAGGGATACAGAGTAACAGCCTAAAAACAGTTTTTTTTTCTATTTCCGACAGTACTTTAGATACAAGAGTGTATGGCAACTGATGACGACGTTCCGAAAGTCAACTTTCCCTTGCTGTGTACTACTAACTTATTTCAGCAGTTCCCGCCCTTGGCATCAATATTTCACAACTTTGAAGTAAACTCGATCACACTCTTTCAATAAGATTCAAAAGAGCGTCATACGAATTTTAATCAAACGTTGTTTGATCAGTGTTGCAAAATTCAAATTTCAAAAGGTAGATATTTGTATCGTCTATTCCCGAACACCAGGTACCACATTCTCTTCCCACAGAGGTTACTTGTCATATCTTCCTACGAACCTCTGTTCTAATACGGCCATATTTCCCGGTTCTCGTAAAATCCCCTAGCGGCAAAAGATCGCAACACAAATTATCTCCCTTCTTTCTATCCAATCAGAACACGTGTTACATCGACTTAGATTCAACTTGACCAACACAAGCAAATGTGGGGCCACAGATATCCCCCCATCTGCCGGGGACTTGTGTTGATGTTACACACAAGACGTTTAATGGCTAGCTTGTCCGTTGTCAACGAGGGCGATGGAGACGCCACTGATCCGCCATAACATGACTGAGTCCTGTCTAGAAGAAACGTTTGCGCATCGCGCAGGGGAAGAAGTTTAGTTTTCTCGAAGCATACGGAAATTACCGAGGCCTTGCGAATGATCACTTTTGAAACAACGTCGCTGATTGCACAACTAAATCTGATTGCCTCCAATCACGATTCTTGAACGCTCACACCATGAAAGGGCCGTATTAGAACAGAGGTTACGTAGGAAGATATGACAGGAGTAACCTCTGCGGGAAGAGAATGCAGGTACCACCGCTATTACATTTCTTATAATTATTGAAGTGGTGCATAGGTCGAGAACATTTCCAAATTTGACGCAAAAGTTATGTCGGAATCAACTGCTGTTTTGATTTGCTGGACATTACTGGAAATCGGTTTTGCATTTTTATTATGATTGTTTGTTTGTTGTTTTACGCCGCACTCAGCACTATTCCAGCTATATGGTGGCAGTTTGTAAATAATCGAATCTGGACCAGACAATCCAGTGATCAACATAATGATTATCGTTCTACGCAAGTGGGATACGATGTCGTGTGTCAACCAAGTCAGCGAGCCTGGCCATCCAACCCCGTTAGTCGCCTCTTACGATAAGCATGGGTTACTGAAGACCAATTCTAACCCGGATCTTAACGGGTCGTTTTTTATGACGATGAAAAGAGGTTTGGTGCTTTTATTTAGAAAGAATAATTGATTATACACAACCCATATTTTGGAAACTATTCTGATTGGACAACCAGATGTTTTCAATCATTATAAACATCTTCTGAGTTCAGTTTCGTCTACTGATCTGGGAAAATGTGTTACGTTGGAACAGAAAGGAGCCGACGGTGCTCCCAGTTGTGAGGCAGTTCTCCTTGACTACACACATTGAACCTGTCCGTTTTCACACTGGATTTGGAGGACTCTTTAAAAGACGTATCCATATAACCTATGATTGTCCGCACCTTCGGTTTATCTCCAAACTGAACTGCTGCTCAATATTATGAACCATAATCACATATTTGATATCAGAACATTTCGCTAACAGTTCTCGTATTGTGAAAGTTGT